ACAGTTATAGGATGGGCCGGTTACGCCGTCTTCGTCACTGGACCTTGCCGAGCTGTGGTCGATCTCGTCAATATCCTCCTCGCTGAAAGACGAATCGTCACTGTCATTCGAATTAATAGGCCAGTCTTGTATTTCTTGTATTAAATGAACTGTCGCACAGGTCAGGTTATCTAAGGTCGTCTCAGATGGAGCGTCATAGAAGTGTTTGTTGCAGTTCTTAGTTAACCGCATGGTTCTACACAACAGATAAACAAAAGGCATAAAAAAAAAATAACGCGTATCAAAATGCTATATATTGCAGTTGTGTAACGGAGAGCTATCTCATCATCTCTCAACCTTTACCGTTGGGTTGGCCACGTAAAACTCTGAGCACACTCTTTAACCTAGTTCTGGATCTCCCACACTTTAAGCACATGCGGTAATGATATACATTGGTCTGAAGGAATTAATAGAAAAGACAAACTGTGGAGTATCGTTTCATTACTTGATTTGTTCGCAAGTAAAATCTAAGGTATCCGATGACCGCCCTAAACTGAAAATCTCGTTTAGGCCGGTCGTGGACGTGGAAGGTTCGCAAATAGGAATGGTCGATGCGAGTTCAGTCGGATTCGGCGAAATGTTCTTCAACAGACTCGAAGCCAACGACGGAGTACCCTCGCCGTGCATTCGATAATCGCCAGCCGCGAGATTTTTCGATGACATACACATAACCGTATTACAAAGATATTTTACTACTGAAACATAGAATATATGACATTTATTTGGATATTGAATTTGCTTATAGCAACACTTATACGTATTATAAATTAAAAAAGTACAATATGAGCCAGTCAGAATTTTTGTTTGTTAGGTGTCTGACACACTGCACACACGCTTATCAGTTTCAAATATTGTGAGCCTTAATATTTATGGCTGGCACATCCCAAACTCAAGCGCCGCTGGATGAACAAGGGTGTGTTGCATGCTAAAAATAAAAAATCCAATTTTATACGATGGGCCGGTAGGTACCTTTACCAATCGTACGTTTTTCTCATCACATAGCGTTTAATCGGACCGGTTGTTATGTTAAAAGACAGCACGTACTATTTAATAGTTTTAGGACGTTTTTCTCGTTGGCCGGATTTATTTCCATTTCCCGACATAAGAATGGAAATTCTCATACAAGTGTTTTTTTCCGCGTCACGGTGTTCCCGAATATTTTACCATCGATCAAGGCAGTCAATTCGAATCCACAACATTCAATACTTTTGCTTCAATATTGGGTGAAAAACGAATTCACTAGACGGCTTACCATCCGGTGGTAAACGAATTGGTCGAACGTCTTCAGCGACCATTAAAGGCAGCGATTAAGGCGCACGAGACGGAGCATTGGGTGGTTTCTCCCGTTAATTCTTCTAGGTTTCCAGGCAAGCATTAAACAAGACAGGCGTTACCTCAGCAGAAACGTTTTACGAAACCACACTTCAACTCCCAGACGACTTCTGTACACAAATAAAAAAAGTTACGTCCAGTTCCTACCTCAAACCACTCAAAGAGAAGAATAATAATACATCCGCATTTCATTGCATTGCTTGTATGAACGGCGTGGAACGCATATGTAGAGTTTACATTGTAGACATACCAGGCGCGAGTTTGTGATTGTCCAATTTAGTGGCCGTCATTTTTTGCTTAAGGTTTGGTAGATTGGCCGGGGTTTTTGATGTGGTTGTGTGCAGACATTGAATTTTTGTAAAACAGAGAATTGGTGTTTTCTATTGCAAAGTTTTAAAGAGTATTAAGATGTGCGGGTTTAGCTGTTTGTGACGTATTTAGGTACATTAGTGATAGTTCGCAGGCAGCTTCGATTCTGGTCCAGTTATTTTTTGAGCGGACCCCAGGCTAGTCCGGCGTATGTGAGTACTGGTCTTATGTACAGCTGGTGGATAAGTAGTTTTGATTTGACAGGGACTGGACTGTGTCTGTTCAGCACCGGATACAGCATGTCACAAACCCTAGTTGCTTTTTTGGTTGTTTCACGGACGTGTGTTGTAAACGTTAGGTTTTGGTCAAATGTTACTCCGAGGTATTTGGCCTCCTTGGCCCATGAAACTCGATGACCTTTTATTACAATTTTCCTTAGTTTAGATGTTCTGGTGTTATTGAAGAGTATAGATATTGCCTTCTAAGAGTTTTATACATCCGGAACTCATAGAATGCACTCACGTTTTTCTCTGTTAAGACATAATGATAAAATCACTGGAGCCACTATATGATGGAACCTTGAAGGTTGTAGCAAGGGATGACAACATTTTTAAAATCCAAATTGGCAAAAATATAGTCAGCGTTACACTTGATCGGATTAAGCCATTTTTTGGTCAATCTGTCCATCGAAGAGGAGGGTCTAACCAACAACGGATTCCAGCCGGATCAAGCTTCTGTAGTTGAACAACAGCCAGAGTCTAACGACAAATATGCTCGAGACAACATAAGGACGAGTCTTTCGTTTTCTAAAAGGTTTCTGTCTTTAATTTCACTGAGAAGGGAGTAATGTGGCAGACACACTGCACACATGATGATCAGTTTTTAATATTGTGAGGCAATTGCGGCATGTCAGCAGTCCGGATGGCGAAGCATCATAGGAAAATACAAATTATATATTTTTAATCTACTTCAAAAAAAGAGGAGGTTCTCTATTGGGCGATGGAATTATATTCATCGATTTGTATAAATGTTACGATATGGTTAGCTATAGCCAAGACAGCATATATAATTACTCTAGTATGACACTTTAAAGGTGCGTTTACATTACGCTGAGAACGCAAACGAAGCTACCGAACAAATTTGGTAGAGCTTCGGTCTTACCGAGAAGACTACTCGATTGTGTTCATTCTCTGGCGTTCACCAATCTTCACTTGGGTAAACATATTTTGTGTTCATTCGACTAGGTGTATATTTATCTTATTTTTTTTTTTTTTTTTACCGGCTCCACGATACATTGAGGATCTTTATTGTCAAATATACCTCCTCCCATTTCTCTCTATCCTGCGCTATGACTTGCCAATCCGTCCCAACTTCTTGGGCTACCGCATTCCATATCTCATTTATGCTGTCTATCCATCTTCTTCGTGGTCTTTCCTTTGATCTCCTCCCTGCTAACGTCCAAGTCATAATTTCTTTTATTAGGCACCCAGACTGCTCGCCACGCATGTCCGGCCCATTGCATTCTCATACTTTTAATAAATTGTACAATATTTTCCTTTATGTATAAGTTTTCCAGCTGTGCATTCGATCTTAATTTCCATTGATGTGTTTCGGTATTAAATACTGTATTATTCTTAAGATTTTCCTTTCAAAACTTCTTAGTTTTTCTTCATTACCTTTAGTTGTGGAGCACGTGGCATATGCATAAGTCAGTACTGGTCTTAAGTAGCTTACGTCAAGTTGTTCTTTGACATTTTTTATTTAAAGAGGGTCTCCATTGCGAATTAACATCGATTTGCTGCATTTAGCCTCACATTTATTTCTTCGTGCATAATAATTTTGTTGTTTAGAGTTACTCCAAGGTACTTAAATTCTTTAACTTGTTCTAATTCATTATTTCCTTCTGTTGTTGGAGCTATCTTCTGATCCTCTTGTTACTACCATGTATTTTATCTTTTCTGCATTTACTACAAGACCCATATTTTTACTTATTAACTAAGCATTTATTAATATTCTAGAGGAAATAATAATATAAATGCATATGTTTTTGATAACCTAAAACATGCAGGCTGTGGTTATTAATACAATACTGATACTTAATAGTTTTTATCTTATTTATTATTATAATTAATTGTGTAGTCGAGTGTAGACGATTTATTAATAGCATGCACAAGTTTCGTGGTTATGAATTTATTACTAGGCAAGAGAATATTAATTTGTTGACTAAAACAAGTATCTTGTAAACTCGAAAATATTATCTGAACGCACGGCAGTGCGCAGACTATGTTCCGACAATACCAGTGTATCTAACACGAACGGTTTTTCTTACTCTCATATCTTTGATTCCTCTTAAGATGGGCTTTTGAAATTTGAAACATAGATTATGGATCTTGGGAACTGTTAAAAATCGGGCCAAAGTTTGAATTTTTGTTACTGAATCACTGATCATGAAAATTAAAAGTCAATTCCCGTATAGGTAGAAACGTGAAATTTGGCAGAAACTACCTTATAAGTTATATTGTAAGTAAAGGGAAAAATCTGAAAATTGCTAGATAATATCGCGCAAAAAAATTTAGCCCAAACTCGTAAAAAGAAATATGCTACCGTGTTAATTAAACATTATAAGTGATAACATCTTCCATGACTGCAAATAAGCAGATTGGAAATATTCGTCATCTTTAATGCCTGTTTATTTAGTCATGATATTACCTACGCTACATCTCTACAATATTAACTACGTTTATTTGTTTATTTTTTTTTTAAATTCTATTATACTTTTTTTTGTTGTAGAATCAAAATTTAAATGTCTTGTATCAATGAAATGTTGAAAGAAAAATGTTAACTACAGACTTCTGTAAAAAACAAGGCTGTAAGTTTTATTTAAAATCATTATCAAACGGCTTTTAAAAAAGTAGTTTGTAGTTTACGTACTATACAATGCTTTAACTATTTAAATAGTAAACTTAAGTATTACTTAATTTTACATTTGACCCTATATATACATTATATAGACGAAGTTCTTAGCTATAAAAGTATGTTTAAATTGTTTGCGTCCTCACGCATCTCTAACGTATACAATCATACACATATGTATTTCCAATAAGGAATTTTTATTTTTTGGAAAGGTATAACCTGTGTAGTATATAACAAGAATATTATATGTATTAAAAAAAAATTTACATTCAAATTTAAAAAAATTGTGTACCTAATATAGGGAAAATATGATATCGCTATTAAATTTAAGTGTAGACGTAGTTAGTGTAAAATATATATGTTGATTACAATTTCTTTTCAATTTTTACTATTTTTTTTAGAGTATAATGATAAACACGTCTACAGTTTTGCGAGAAAAATTACGGTTGCCTGACTACTCCAATGATGACGAGAACATTGAAATGATCCAACTGACTCTATGTGTCAGTACTATTTTGTCCAACAACTACTCAGAGATTGATTTTGAAACTATGCATAGGAAAGTTTATAAATGTGTTTTGGTTCGTCAAACGGACAAACTTTACGACCGTTTACGATTGTGCGTGACAAGTCACTTGAACGTTAATGTCAAGTATAAATTAGAGAGCGTCAAAGGCCAAGCGTATTTGGAAATGGTCTGTAACGTTTGGAGTGACTTCATTGGAGCAGTTTCCAAAATAGGTGACGTGTTTTGGTACCTGGACGTGATTATGCTGCGCCGAAACAAAGGCGTAGACCGCGTAGTTGACATGGCTGTAAAACTGTTTAGAAATTTTTTGTTGCGCAACGAAAGTCTCCGTAGTCAGCTAATAGAGGAAATATTTAGTTCAATCGAATCCGAAAGGTATGGCGTAGCCAGTCAAGTAGCCAGAAAATGTGGCCAAATACTTTTGGAGATAAACAAAGACAATCGTTTGCTCTATAATGTCTATTTCGAAGACAATTACTTAGCCGAAGTGGAACACCACTGTCAAAAAATAAAATGTCCTCCCAGTGTGACGCATTACGTACAAATGGTGGAAGCGGCCATTGAGTTGGAGACCGACCGAGCTCTGGCGTTCGGTGACAATATCACTTATACCCGAGTAGTTCAATTGATGGTTGCTGAGCTGATTGGCAAACGCGTTCAGTTCATTATAGAGTCTCCTGCTGGCATGTGGCAAATGATGAAAGACGGTAATGTCCATCAATTGACTAAGGTTCACCGACTTTTGGTTCGGATCGAATCATATCCTGCTATAGTTGTCGACGCAATAAACCGATATACAATTTTGAACTACTGTAATAAGGCGACTAGCCAGAATTTTTTTAATAATATATTAGAGTTCAGGGATACCATGAGTAAATATTTAGAAACAGCATTTGACAACGAGCCCATCATTGAACAGGCTATCAATTTGAACTTTGAGAAACTTTTGCGGCTAAACACCCGAACTCCACAGGAGTTGTCGCTGTACGTGCAACAATTAATGTCTAGCGTGGAGGATTGTGCGGTTTTGTTGAAACAAGCTATCACCGTATTCAGGTACATGGAGAAAAAAGACAAATTCGAAACTCATTACAGACAGCATTTGGCCAAACGTTTACTTCTGAATAGAATAGTGAATGAACGCCGCGAGAAAAAGTTTATCTACGAGCTTAGCTCCGAGTGTGGGATTCATTACACACATAAGCTTCAGTGTCTGTTTAAAGACATGGAAACTTCTGTCGAATTGGCGACACACTTTAGTCGAAAAAACGCTTACAAAGTTAATGCCATTGAATTTAATGTTCGTGTGTTAACGTGGGGCATATGGCCTCTATCCGCCAACGGACTTGAATGTTGCTTGCCTCGGCCGATCCGCACTCTCTTCAAGAACTTCCAAACATTTTATTTATCTCTCCACGGAGGCGGACGGAAGCTCACGTTAATACCTCAACTTGGATCAGTCGAAGTGATAGCTACTCTAGGAGGAACTGAGTATACCATGGTTATGTCCACATTTCATGTAACGGTTTTGTATTTATTTAACACATTTTCAAAACTGACTTACGATACTATTCAAACTATGACCATGATACCGGAACCAGATTTTCGTCGAGTTATCGTCTCCCTTATGGCCGCAAAAAATCGGATACTCGTTAAAGAGCCCCGAACAAAGACCCTGGAAAGTGATCATGTATTTCGACTAAACTCTAACTACAAGTCCACATTAACCGTGATTAAATTGTACGCCAGTAGTGGATCAACTGTAGCCAAAACGGAAATGCGAGTTGGTGACAAACTCAAGTGCGAGACGGCGTACAAAAGATAACGGACGACACTTATATCGTCAAAAATTATTCTATTAACAATGACCTCGTGCAACTTACACAAGTCCAATGTGACCGAACAATTGTCTATCCTTCGTCGGCCTGCTAGAGAAACTGTGTGCGTAGCTATTGACCATTAAATATTTACAAAATGTTTTAACTTTAACGAAAATAAACTTGTGACAATCACATTGTGAGAAAAACGTATTTATTGATATATCTATATATTTTATGTATCAGCGGGCAGAACCCTATACAGATTTTTAGAAAATAATAATTTGAACACAATAAACGAAAAGGCTACGATCAAAGTGTCCCCTAAATTAATATATTCTTAACATTACCTTAATCTACTGTGACCCAGAATCAGCAACAAGTTTGATCCAATGTATATCCAAGGGTCATTTAATAATTCCATCAAATCATTTAATGTTGCAACATTCACAATTTATATTTTAATTCTGACATTTTTTAAACGTGTATTTAAGGTAAAATTTAAGTTTTTCATAAAAACCGTCGAGAGAATCTAGTTAAATTCTACCAGTACCAACATTTTTTTCCTATGACCATTTTGCTTTGACAAAAACACGTTTTTTACGACTATTATTAAAAGGGTATAACGTCCTCTTAAAAAACCAAACAATAAGATAATTCTATAGAGGCAGTTAGAATGTTTGTTTATAATAAAATGACCAATACCACGGCCGATAATCGTTTGCTAAATACTCGAGGTAGGTAGTAAATCATAACAAATAATATTTTTGGGTTATCCAATGTTTTGTACACTTGATGATTATTAGTTTGTTCGTGAATCCCGACTAATAACTGTACCTTCACTCGTATCGTTATTCGCGTGTATATTAAAATGGATAATAAAAAAAGTGATGTTTGGTGTCATTTTCATTTAATTAACGGTGAAAAGGCTAAGTGTTTGTACTGTTCTAATGAATTTTCTTACAAAGTGGGCTCAACTGCTAATTTAAGTAAACATCTCAAAAGAAAGCATATTATACAGTATGAGGTAAGAAAAAAACGGTGTACCGAAAATGTGGATGAACCCGATGTAACTGAAGTATCTGAAATTTCAAAACAACCCGAAACCCACTTACAAGTAGGACCTTCTTCTGTTGCGAAAACTATGCACTCTTTGGAAACAACTCAGACCCGTATAGAAAATGTTATTTCAAAGCCCCTTTCTCTTTCTAAATCCCAAAAGCTTGATGAACAAATAGGAATTATGGTTGCCAAGGAATTTCAACCTTTTAGCCTAGTTGAGAATAAAGAGTTTAAACGCTTTGTCCACATGTTGAATCCAGGATATTCAGTGCCCTCGAGAAAAACCATTTCTAAATCCATCAAACCGCAGTTATATCAGAAAACTGAAGAAATTGTAAAACAAATTTAAATCAATCAAAATGTATTGTTTTTACCACAGATGGGTGGACGTCGTTAAATAATGATAGTTTTGTTGCTGTAACGGTTCATTTTATAAATTATGTAGACTGTGTGCTAAAATCGCATTTATTGGGGTGCTATCATTTTGAAAAAACTCATAAGGCGTTACACTTATCAGTTTTTATGAATAAGTGTTTTTTAGAATGGGGCATTTCAAATAAAATTAAAGTGGGTGTAAGTGACAATGTCGCCAATATCACAGCAGCTATAAATACATAATTAAATAAAAGATAATAATAATTATTGAACGATTAAAAAAATTAAAACATCTTATGTCATTTTATTTAATTAAGTATTATTATTCCTAAATTACAATTTAATTAATAATAGATATTATACCAACAAATAAAAAAATTAAATTAAATTCTTCATTTACCGTAAAAAGGGATGAATAGAAACGATGGTGTGAATAGAAACAAAATCTGAAAAGTTATTACCTCGATGTCCCCACAGTTGAGTTTTCAAGTTATCAATCTAAAACCTTCATTAAATCGAACTCACATAAGTACGAAATTCGAGTAATACTAAACGTTGCATTTATTTTTACATCCATACGGATAAACATTGACAAGCACTCGTGATAATTTTCATATCATATTATTATTAAAATCTAAGTTACTCGTTATGATGTTGTTTTGTTAAAGTTTTTTGTTTTCTTACATTTAAAGTATTTAAAATATTATTAAGTTTAATTAATCGTAAGTATTATTTACTGTTATAACTTAAATATTTTAATAGGTCAATTTTAATGACCTAAGCCATTTTAGGGGTGAAAAGAAACAGAAACAATGGGAGTAAAAATGCAGTAAAAATATGAACTTTTTGTACTACATTGGCCAAATTATAAAGAAAATAGATAAAGCCACTTTTGAAGGCACTTTTTTAAGATCAAAAACAACCAGGGATCATAAAGGCATGGTGTATGGTTTTCCAGAAGTCAGAGATGTTTGTGTGTTCAAAACTTCCCAAGTTGTAGGGAAACTTGAAAAACCTGTTCCTTACGGAAGAGGACTGTTCAAGTTCAACTATGATTGCAAATCAAATTCCTAATCTATTTGTATAACCTAAGTCATAAATTTAGTTGAAATCATAGTTGAACTTGAACGTTTGAACTGTGATTAAAAATACATTTTTTGTTCTATTTGTATTACCACGTCCAAAACTGGGAAAGAAACCCTTAAGACTGACAAAATTAAATTTAAAAACTGTATTTTAAATGTTTTAAGTTTGCCTCAATTGTTATGTTTATTAATTTGTTTATATACCAGTGTAAAATGTGTTTATTTAGTTTAGTTTACCTATTACCAAGAAGGTTTATATAACATATATTTGGTGTAAAATTAAATAAAACATTTTATTACATTGACAACTTTGTCTTTTTTTTTTTAAAAAAAATATCAAAAATTGTTTCTATTCATCATTCCGTTTGTAAAATAGAAAAATATATAAGAAAACCACGAATGTTTCTATTGACACCATCTTGCGGGTGAATAGAAACGGCACATTAAAAATATATAAAATATATATTTAGATATATGAAAAAATGTTGATAAAACATACTTAAAATACTCGCAGAGGCCAGTATTTTGACGTATTGATGAACTATGTATCTCAAATAGAACAGTTTTAATTACACTTCAAAGTTCAAAAGTGTTGCTATTCACCCCATTTTACGGTACTATAAGTAGGTGCATATTTCTTTATTTATACTTTACCTGTATTTGAATTATTTGGCCATAACTTATAAATGGATATAATGTAATCGAACATACTCAAAATCAGTAAAAATAGTCATTATTTTAATTAAACGAATAAACGATTTTAATTTCGAGATCCTCTCGATTATGAAAATGTCTTGATTACTAATAATTCGATTATGTTCATCACTAATTATTAGGTAGTTAGTTGTTATAAAGTAGTTATTTGGAAAACTATTTTAGTACGTAGTAATATACTGAATTAATATTTAGTTTGTAAATTGAGGAAATGGGAAATGTTACATTTACATTATAAATACCCTTCAGATATTCTTAATAAAATATAGTTACAAATCAATTATTCAATTATAAAAGGCCGTATTGCCGTTGGCTGGCACATACATCTTGACCAGTACCTAGCTACTTGATTATTGCTTATTGAACAAGTTTTATTTTTTACATGTTTAAAAATATAACGGCGTTGTTTAAATGATAAAAATATTTTTATGCAACCGTTTTTTGTTAAAAAAAAATCCAACATCAAAGTATCAATTACCGCAAATTGTAATTGACTCGCCAATCACACAGACCAAGAAATTCAAGGCGAATTACCAAATATCGAATATTTTATTCTAGTCGTGTTTACCAGGTAGGTAATATAGGTTCATAATAAGCAATTTGCACCATAACGGCCCGTCAATCGGCGCTTTATAATATACCAATTGACGCACAACAATAATTGTGTTCAATTACAATAGTAACAAGTAATATACTCGCTACGGACTTGGTCCGTGATCGACAGCTTATTAATTAATATCGACAAGTCGAATTACCAAACATCGGAATATTTTTTTTTTTTTTTAGTCGAGTGTACAAGCAGGTTATGCACATTATAGGATTCATAATGTACAACAATAAGCACAAATTGGATCATAACAGTCAGTTAATCGGCGCTTTCCATTGAACCATTAGCCGCACGACAATATTTGTGTACGACGGCGATTAGTAATAAACCGAAGGCTCCACAGTAAGTAAACAAGACATTATCGAAAGGCGCTGCCGCCATCGAACCGATGCACACACTACATTATTATCGCTGTCGACATAAAAATATTTATCCTGTGTAACAACGGCAATGTAATGTTGCTACTATTAACAATAATCTACACTACACGTGTTCGATTAAACCCGAACAAACGGTAAACAGCCAAACCGAAAAAACCGATTGGGCGAGGAGGAACAAACGACAAAGCAAAAATATTGATTTAGCGTCAAAAATTAAATGACTCGTCTCGATAATCGACCCGTCTTAATGGCAGCTCTGTACAGATAAAGAAAAGAGACGGTACGCAGTAGGTTGAAATATGCCACGGAGTTGTGATAAAGAACGACGGACCGCACCGTTACCGCAACGCTCGAATTCGGTTACCGTGCGGTTACCCACATCGGACGAATAGCGCGCGCAATTTGAACAGCTGTCAAAAAAAAAAAGTATTATAGTGTTATCAACTGTAATATAATATCGAGTAAGTTTACGCCGTTAACAATGTTAAACTTCATTGATAATTAAGTCCAACTGATTTTTAGTGAACACTAATGATAGCATTTTTTTGGCCTGAATTTCAATCGATCGTGTTTTGTTCAGAGAAAGAGACTTTTAATTTGCTTTTCTGTACTCTTTTTCTGTTTTTTTTTTTTTTAATTGTAATTTTTAAGCATTCAAATTTTTCTGCAAATCTTTTATTTCAAATATGAGATTTTCGTTTATATTTTTTGACGTACATCGGCTTCTCTAAACAATAACAATTTTTTTTCTTGTATAATAAATTGTGTTTTTACTTTTTCGTATT